TGTGTGTGTGTGTGTGTGTGTGTGTGTAACAATAGCGGTTGTGAGTGATCAGCACTGGGGGGCAGGTATGGGAGGTTGTGGCCCTGCATACATATCCCTGCAACACTCTACAGCACGACACACACACACACACACACACACACACACACTCAGAGCATATCAGGTCGTCATGATCTGAGTGACGATGTGAGAAAAAGATATAACCGGCTTCTGATGTGGGGAGAGATCATCACACAGTAAATACAGATGCATCTGCAGCAGCAGCAGAAAACACACGATAGGAATTATAATTATTCATATTCCTGCACAGACAGATGATCTTGGTGAGATGAGAGGTTCAAGAGCGGAAAGATTTTCAGTGCAACTGGTTTCAGTTTCTCAAGGATGCTAAAAAAAACCAACCATTTTTGGTTACAGTCACTAAGCTGTGAATATTGACTGTTGTTCTCATTTGAAGGTAAACTGAAGATATTTGGGCTGTGGACAGATGGTCGGGAAAGACAAACTGTGCCTCATGATAGTTTTCCGTTGTAGCTTCATCGTTCACATTCACATCTGATCGGCTGCACAGACGATTGATGACAAATGAACACGTAGGAAAATTATATAATCACTCTTTTCTTACATTTATAGACCAAACAATCCATCAAAACTATAATCGACATATTAATTAATTAGATGTTGTGGCTGAAGCTTTAAAAAATGGGAGACTGGTGAACAAATATGTTCATTATCGCAGATTCCGTCTATTTCAGACTCACAAAGTGTTTTAGCTGCAACTGGTGTCTCTCAGTCGCTCACAGTCGACACAAATAACAACATGTCATCTTTGTAATTACACAAACTATCATTACTTGATTCAACACTCCTCCACTGGAGCCGGCCCCCCCGGCTCTGACCCTTCTCTTACATCTGGCGCCATCTGTTGGCTGATCGCCGCCCGTCAGCTGAATTCAACAACAGTAATAAACACAGTGATGTTCGTTAAAGACGGATCCGTTCGCCCGCAGGAGGAATTCTGCTCGAGACTTTTTTTTATTTCCCAAACAAAAACACGAAAGTGTGCGTCCTGCTGAAAGTCACCGATCAAGAGGTGGGAGGAACCATTTCAACCAGTCATGGGCCCAGCGACGGTAACTGGCCCTTTAAGAGCGAACAGTTTGTCTTTCACATTCTGCATCACAGGAGAGATGCTCATTAAAAGCGCCTCCATTCCTCACTGTTTCATCAAGAGAGACTGCCAAGCTCTTTAACTCAGTGTTCTTGATGTTTGTGCTGTTTGTGTAAAACCCATCTGTTTCCTCGTCTCTCTGTTGGCAGAGGGTCCACCTCATCCGTATGCTTCTCTTTTTGAAGTCGTGTCAAAATCAAATTTTTATGCATCTAAGATATCCAACTTGTCATCAGCACTCGGGGAGAAGTCAAGGAGGGCACTCCTTAAATAGCTTCCTTTTCCTCTTCATATACAATACATGCAGGAACACGGGAAGCAGAGGAAGCACAGAGACGAGGTCTTAATCATTTGTCTCAGAGACAGAGACAATCATTTCAACAGCGCTTTTGTGTGGAAATGTTATTGCGCTGCTGTTTTTTGAGGGTAAAGTTAATGAACTGAGAAAGACTGAACCACTTCATCCACATCTAAATGACCCCACTCCAAAGCTTGTTTCCTCTCAGGGTGAGAGAGCAAAATTTTGTTCAAGCCGAGAAGATCATTAAACAGGAATCCCGCCCTGCGGGGAGACGCACCGGGAGGAGATGGGGCAGAAAAAATGATTTCATAGGTTTAAGCAACGTGAGCCACCAGCGAACAATCGGCATCAGTCACACACACACAAACATCCACCTCTGCTAAACTGTGTCATGATTTCAGACACACTCATCCATCACAAAGTTTGAGTTTGAAGACTGAAAATCGCTGTCGGAATAATTATCACTTTAAAAGGATGTCATCGTGTAAAGACGAGAAGGTATAAATAAATATAGCTCACTTCCCCGTCGGAGGCCTGGCAGGTAATTTTCTCCAGCTGCTCTAAGTGTGACAATCCCATGGGGACTGAAATCTAATATTAACAGCAAATCATTATG